AGCCCACCGATCGACTTTCATTTCTTATGTAACACTACGCCCAACCTTATTATTACTTACCACATTACACCACCTAACATGAAAGATAAAATACAGACACCTATGATCGAAAATGGCTACCGTCTTCATATGTTATATCTAAGTTCACAGCAGAGTTCATTTCTGTTGTGGTTGTTGTCAGCGAAAATGTCCCTGTCTGCTTAAAATTATTGTTGGATAGTGAAAGATGGTTATCGCAGTTCACAAAAGCGATCAATTCAATCGCTTTCTGCGATTACCATTCCTATCTTGGTCCGCTAAGTGCTTCTGATAAAATAGGTGTATGCACATAAACAGTTGTTTTAAGTAGCAGTGGTCGTCCGGATTTCTCAGTCTGCAAACCTTATCACAATATTAACTGGTAGATATCTATTATAAGATTTAATAGTGTGAAATATTCCCATATCATGATATGAGTCAATCCGAACGAAGAATATTCTTTTCAATAATTTCCCCTCTTCAGGTTCTTACATTTATAAAATATAATGTATTTGTTGTCGTTACAGTAATGGCCAGTTATGTGGAGGATACATTTTTTACGTAGAATGTGGGGTAGGCAAATTGATAAGTCAGTTCAAGGTTATAAAACGTGTCAGGTGAGTGGGTGGTTAGTACAAAGTAGTATGTATTAAAGAGGAGAAGATGGTAAAACTGCAATGAGAGGTTCGTCCTGAAATAACCAATTTGTGAAATGGATCAGGTGGAGGCATACATTAAGACAAATGATTCTTCTTCCCCTTTACTCTCTTGGTTTTGTTTCTTTGCTTATTATTACAATTATTATTATTCGTCATAATTTATACCCTTCATTCAAACATAGCCCCAAGACTATTAAATTTACCATTTATACTATTCGGACTTATTATTAGTGATATTATCTCTTCTCTCAATATACGCCTCCACCTGTTCCACTTCACATATTGATTATTTCATGATGAACCTCTCATTGTAGTCTTACTATCCTCCCTTTAATACATACTACTTTGTACTAGCCACTCACCTGATACGTTTTATAACCTTGAATTGACTTATCAATCTGCCTACCCCACATTCTACGTAAAAAATGTATCCTCCGCATAACTGGTCATTATTGAAACGACAACAAATGTTATATTTTATAACTGTAAGAACCTGAAGAGGGGAAATTATTGAAAAGAGTATTCTTCATAATAAAGCATTTTCGTATATCCCAATAAATGAAAAAATAAAACGATATTGTTTTTACTGACGTTTGGCTGTTTAATCCCTAAGGATTCTCAATCTAATTGTTTCTATAAGATAAAATGCTTGAAATGTGATGTGACATACATTGGACAAAAATCGCCAGAGAGAAATTAAGATAATCAGAAGAAATGAACTCCGTAGAGTTGGCTGTGTTCAACCATCGAAAATCCAGTTGAACTAGAAAAGCTTCAAAAGTCATCAACCATTGGTCGTCTACACGCTGTAGAATAGGGTCACAAAGTTGATTTTGACAATATTGAAATAATCCAGAAAAATTTCAGAAATCACAAAGAACGTCTCACATCATCAGAAGCACTTCATATCAAATGGAATCGAAATTGTCTGAACTGAATAGGAATGATGGAATAAAACAGAATTTGACCTGGTTACAATATCCCCACTCGCACCCCATGAAATGATAAAATTAACACAAATGTGATAAGCAATTTCATTATGTAAACACACTCTGCTCTTATAATTTTACACACTTATCAAATCCAACAATCTACTCCTGGTTTTGTTATCTTTACCGATTGGTAAATTTGACAACGCGAAAATGACTCCATGCTGAGGAACGATGATTAAGAATTTATATATAAGCTGAGTGGATTTTGTAAATTATAGTTTAATAATACTACTACTTTGAGAAAGCTATTAGCAGTAGCATTAAATAGCGAAACGTCAGTAGAAACAACAATATCGTTTTGTTTTTCATTCATTGGGGAATACAAAACAAACTCTTTATTATAATGAATATTATATACCCAATGCCCAGATATTTTCAAACTGTTAAAAGTGAACTTGGTTGAGAATATTCTTCGCTCAGATGTCAGTTGGGGAATAAACCTGAGTGGCAAAATATATACGTATCGCATGTAACCTCCATGCAACCTAGCAAACAGTTATGCACTGTCAGAACTGGTGACATATAATAATACCGTTTGATTAATATAAGTTATTCAATCTTAGGCTTTTTTGGATAGTCCCAACAAATAGATCACGGATTTTTGATAAATCACAGTGTTGTACAGTAATATTAACTGATGACGTTTCGAGCACAAACTATTGCCAATCATAATCATATCAATTGATTGATATGATTTGATATGATTATGAGTGGCAATGGTTTGTGCTCGAAACGTCATCAGTTTATATTACTGTAATACATTGTGTGATTTATGAAAATAAAATCTTATCCATAATAGATTTATGCTCTACCACAGTGCCCAAGTTTTATACTTATATCAAACAGTTCACGGTACTTAAAAACGGCTACTATAGAATATTTTTGAACATTCTAACTGATAATAGGTTTCCAGACCGTAGGTGTTACGAATTCCCTGGAATAATTTGAGCGCCGAATAAATCTGCTGAAGAAGCTGTGGCTTACACGGCGAAACGTTCAGAAAAATCTTGTTTTGATTTTCTTAACACGCTGGGATTGATTTAAATAATTTATAATGATTCTAACTGATAGATTTGTATTCTATCAGTTAGTTTCCTATGATTTTCGTCACTTGTTCAACGAACACATTAGGAAGTCTGCAGATTTTGTTTTTACTTCATACACACACAATCTGGTAAAGATTTCACAGATTGTTGACATTGTTTCGGTATGATTATCCTAAAAACTTCTATCATATTTCTACTCTAGAAGGTAGTGACTGATGAATTCAGGTCTCACTCTATCTGATGAAGTTTAACGTATCACTTAAATGTGACTGATAGTCAGCTACACATAGTTCAGGACCGTTGTTACCTCGGGATTCAGTAGTTACCCGGAATAAATTTTCTAGTATATCATTATGTGTAAGCCACACCCGTCTGTGAGAGAGATTATAATTCCTTTCGTTTAGTCATGCTCCAGTAGGTTCAAAGACTTGAAGAATCACAGAAAGCCACAGACTTTCATCAGCAGCTACTTTCACTCGACACTAAAGAAGATCAAAGAGCTAGAAAAGATGAGCAAACACGGACTACATCAACGAGCTAACCAAGAATCCTATTTTCCAAAAAATATGAAAGAGGAATTGGGAATAAATCGGACATATAGTGGATAGAGTGTTGAGTAACATCATGCGCCAGGCCCTACCTAGCTTGGAATGCGAGTGGGGGATCCGAGAGTGATATATGTGCTAGTTCATGCCTCCCCTGGCGTAGACGTCATATCTAGTTATCAACCAAAGGTCGTGAGTACTGTTCATCAGTCCGCCCTGTCCTCCTTTATGGCTGCGAGACCTGGCCATTGAGAGTGGAAGATACCAAAATGCCGGCTAGCTGTCTTTGTTCATAGCTGCCTGCGTTTCATCTCCCATGTGAAGTGGTATGATAGAATGAGCAATGTTGAGGTTAGGCACCAGTCGATTGCCAGCTAGGTAGGTAGAGGAAATCAATCGACGAGGTTGTGAAGTTACATCAGCTGAGATGGTTAGGACATGTGTTACGCATGAATGTCTAGTCATCACCTTCCTCGACAAGGGGCAATGTTAACTGACATAGGATCAGGCTGGAAAAGAGTGAGCTAGTGGTGGTCAAACCAAAACACACGTTCATCAGTCAATAAAACCCACAACAGTTAGGTTAAGCCACGTAGGCAGGGAGGTGTAGACTTCCTGACTGGTTGGGGTCTTAGGGATGATAAAAGCCAATGGTTGGAGGTAATTGATGATATGGCTTAAAGTGATGGTTCCCATTGGCTGGCGCAGATGCATCCACTCCTTGTGACTTATAATACCCAATGAAAATATGTTGTTCTTCGTTACTACTATTCCTTTTGTCACATATCCTTGTTTACTGTCTCTATTTTGCATTTCTACTTTTTTCTCTTCCTTTGTGTGCTACAATGAGGGAGTGTGGCGACTTGAACTGCTGCACATCAGTGCAAATTTCTATGTTGAAAGCAGTCAGTCAGTTAGATGTGAGTATTGTGTGAAAAGGGTATGAAATCTTATAGGCGAGTTATAGACTTAAGAGTAGATAGGGTGAAGTGGCAATGTTCTGTCACTGGTGAAGCCCGCCTTATGTTCCTCTCGGAACCCAAAGGAATCATAATAGTAATAATAATCATAGTACAGATGGCATGAGGTTTGAAACCGCACCTACTAAGTTGAAAGTCGAGTACACACTAGTCAATAAATGAGACACATCATCACTGTGTTATGTAATTACTAACTTGTCAATTGAGATTAACTTAATCCCTTTTAATTTGTGGATGGTGACTAGCAGTGGAATCCAGGATGCGCATTTCGTCCTATTTGGAACTCGTCATCTGGATGTACCTGCATTTCCCAGTGAGTGATGATTTTCCTACAGAGGCTCGAAACTAGTGCCCATAGTTTCAATTAAATTAATATGACCCGTTGCACAAGATGTTGCTGTCATGGCCCAAGTGGTCTAGTGGACGACACTTTGGCGTTTGAAGCTATGGGCAGTGGGTTCGAGCCTCGGTGGGAACATCATCACTCAGTGGGAAATGCAGGTACATCCAGCTGACGAGTTCCAAATAGGAGAGTGAAATGCGCGTTATCCTGGATTCCAGTGCTAGTCACTATCCACAAATTAAATTCTAATTAAATGCCCAGGCATTGTCGAAGCATCTGCGCAAGAAGCCGACATGTCAACGTGAGAGCGAGCACTTCGGTCCAATCAGTTGACGGGAAAATCTAAAATTCAATTAATTTATTCCCTTTTTTGAAATGTCATAATTTTTTTCTTCAAATTTCATATTATTCTTATAGTGATAAGACATAAATTGTGGTGTAAATGAAGCGAAAACACACAGAAAAGTCTAGTTATCTGTCGTCACCGGTAGCGGCGGCAGCAGCGGCAATACAAGATGATCTTAGTGATGTTAGTGATGATTTTGAAGACACTTATAATACAAAGATAGCAAGTTTACAATCACAATTAGATGAATTAAATAATAAAACTCACCCAGGTAGGTATTTATTTTCAAAGTGAAATTTATTCAATATATATTTAGAGTATTTAAAAATTCGTCGAGAAATTGAAAATTGGCATCAAGAACAGAAGCAGCGTATTCACTTTCTACAGGAACATAAGGTAAGACAGACAGAGATACCAAGATCTTTGATGTTTTGCTGCATAATAAACCTGGTTGTTCCCTTTTTATACAGTTCATTGTTTGTGCAGAATAACAAGGTGGTTACCATCCTTTGTTTATTTCGTTAGCTTCTCATTAGCTGCTGTTTACAGTCTAAATAAATTAGTATTATTAAGTTTTTTTACGAGTTGATCACGGATTGATATCATCAGTTAGAGAAGCATTGAAAACCAGGGAGTACTGGGCAGCTGCTGTTTCATCCTAGTTTGGGAATCATCGCCAGTACACACTCATTGGGTTTCGAACCCCAGACCTTCAGGTTACAAGGCAAGCTCGTATACCATTCAGCCACTGGGACCCGATACTTCAATGGCTAGTGCATGAATTCTAACTTCTACCAATTCGTGATGCATTTAGCGCGACCCCAACCATTGTCCTTGGTGGAACATCCATCCACACACGTGTCGTCTAATTGGACCTCACTGGTCACGACTTCTCACTAGAAGTAACTCCAGGAAACTGCATCCTGTAGTAAGTCACTAGCGAGCATCAGATTAATTTTCTATAGTTTGCTTTGTAAGGGTTAGTTATGTTTTTACGAGTTGATCACAAATTGGTAGAAGTTAGAATTCATAAGCCATTGAATCGGGTCCCAGTGGCTGAATGGTATACGAGCCACCTTGCCTTGTAACCGGAAGGTCCTGGGTTCGAACTGTGGTGGTGGGTGCGTACTGGCGATGATTCTCAAACTAGGATGAAACAGCAGCTGTCCAGTACTGCCTGGTTTTCAATGCTTCTCTAACTGATGATATCAATCCGTGATCAACTCGTAAAAACATAATTAACCCTTACAAACCAAACTATAGTATTATTATGTTCATGTACAAAGACAATGTTAACATACTTTCAAATTTTACATGATATCAGTTAGTGACAGGAAGTTCCGTTAATAAGTGAAAAGTGCTCAGAAAATTACGCTTATTATAGTTTTTCCACAGGGAGTTCAAGTTTAGACAAAGTAAATGTAATCATACAATGGTAATGGGAGTTACTTAATAAAGACGAGAGATGCGTAAGATGATGAGTTGACTAATAAATTAGGTAATAGGTAATACTAATTGCAAATCAAATCATAGAAACATGAGAGGAGCAAAATTACATACCTTATGTCGAATGGGTGAGGTTTTAAAGCCAAAGGTTACGTAATCAAATAAAGAGAGACAGGATAAAGACATCCAGTTACTAGGCTGGACAAGAAAAGACTGATGCTAACTTCTTTTTTCTGAATACATAAGTCAGGTTAGAGATTACTTCGACAAACTTGAGGAGAATTGAGCTTTTCTTTTGTCTATTGATAATTTGAAAGAATTTTACCGATTTCCACCTGACGACCCGTATCAAGGAGGTGTCTGGTGATAGCACTATTGTAAGCGTTTGTTCCCTTGAAACAAGTTTTTCAGTACATGTTCAGAAGATCGAAGGTGTGCCCTTCTTTTTTTTCTTCCAATGTAATTGTTCCCTCAGATACATGTAGATTTGTACGCAACGTTTGAGTTAACATGAGAAGGGTACCTATCAAGCATGTTGGCCGATAGATGGGAACCAACTTAGCTGCAGGATAGTGACGTACTCAATCTCCTGTTGACAATTGCTGCAATATTTTCACCTATTGTATCGGGTTGAATGAAGACAGGCTTTTTTTCCACTGTGATTTGTTTGGTGTTTGAGCCTTCACATCTTCCATATTTGTTAATGAATCTCTGAGGGTAACCGTTTTTTTAAAACATCTTTTCAAGGATCGTAAATTCTTCCTGTAATTTCTCTTCTAGCCCTATAGTACAAAGTCTTGACTAGTGCTAGCTTAAAGCTATTTGGAATGTAAGTAAGTATTGTCCATTCCATGTATATAGGCTTTCGGTAAATTGACCTCTGGAGACTACCATCTTCTAGGCGTTGCATGTCGGTGTCAAGAAAGTGAAACTTTCCATCATTTTCATGTCCCATAGTAAATTCAATATTTGTATGTGCGTTATTGAATAATCCGAGTATGTAGGAAGCATAACTTTCACTGTTGCACAGTACAAATGTGTCATCTGTGACATATCGATAAAAAGTTGTTTCGTCGACTGCATGCCTCAACTATGTTTTCTCAAGGTTTGACTGGCCCTATTCAGGCAGTGACCTGGTTTTCTAGTGAGAAACCGTGACCAGTAGGGTGCAGCAGGTTGAAGGTGAGGCAGTAACTCATCATCGAAGGAGACATTGCGAAGTGGTCGCGCTATGTCATGGATTGGCATAAGTTGGAATTCATGCATTGACTGGCCATTGGATTGGCGGGTCCCAGTGGCTCAATGGTCTACGAGCTAGCTCGCCTTGTAACCAGAAGGTCCTGGGTTCGAACCCTGGCAGTGGGTGGGTGGGTGCGTATTGATGAAGAGTCCCAAACTAGGCTGACGAAACAGCTGGCTGTCCGGTACTCCCTGCAGGTTTTCCAATAGTTCTCTAACTGATGTCAGCTCATGTTAAAATAGGGCTAAGTGGACTGCCCATAACTGCACCATCTATTTAGCCGTATCGATTGATTGGTATTGATTATGACCTGTTGGTTCATTAGGTAAAACACAGTGCTTTTGCTTAGCGAAGAAACATTGTTTCCTTTTCTTCAACGACTTCATTTTCAAGCTGTACTCAGTCGTATTTATTTTGGTCTGGTCTGGTGTGTTTTCGACATAGAACTTTGCACCGATGTGCAGCAGTTCAAGTCGCCACACTCCCTCCTTGTAGCACACAAATCAAGAGAAGAAAGTGTAGAGAAATGCAAAATAGAGACAGTAGACAAGGATATGTGACAAAAGGAATAGTAATAACGAAGAACAATATAGTTTTATTAGATATTATAAGTCACATGGAGTGGATGCATCTACGCCATTGATAACGACGAATTTGAGTCATATCACCGACTGTCTCCAGCATTCATTGGTTTTCACTGTTTGGAGGACCCCAGCCAGCCAGTCAGGAAGTCTACACCGTCCTACGGCTGGCTGGCTGGCTGGCTTAAACTAACTGTTGTGGATTTCATTGACTGATGAGGTTATGTTTTGGTTTGATCACCACTAGCTCATTCTTTTCCAACCTGATCCTATGTCGGCTAACATTGCCCCTTGTCGAGGAAGGAGATGACTAGGCATTCATGCGTAACACATGTCCTAACCATCTCAGCCGATGTAACTTCACAGCCTCGTCGATTGATTTCCTCTACCTACCTAGCTAGCAATCGACTGGTGTCTAACCTCAATATTGCTCACCTTATTATACCACTTCTCATGGGAGATAGAACGCAGGCACCTATGATCAAAGACAGCTAATCTTTTCATGTCTTCCATGAGAAAGAAGGCATTAAGTGGCACTAGAAATCGCTCAGTAGTCAATATTACACATAGGATGATAAGAATAAAGATAATTAAAATGGTGTACCACTGTGAGGGGGGTGGGGTAGACTTGAAGTGGATGAATTACAATATTTTGAAAAAACTATTAAATAAGTACGATGATGATAACAAATAATGCAGACGGCGAAAAGCGAAGCCAAGAGGTGGAATGAATTCCACTTGTAAAATAGAATAAAACAAAAGAGCATTACTATGACCCAAGGTAAAGAAAAAGGGGTTTAACAACACGATTTTGAACAGATAATTTAAATTTCTATCCATGTGTATAACTAGAGCTTCAGCTGTGTATAAGTGGAGAAAACGTAAGCTTTTTAGAGTGGTTGAATTCGGTCCACGACCTGATTACAAAAGATGTTGTTCACAAATTGAAAACTTCATCATCCTATGCTTACCTTTCATTAACCAAACCGGATAGTAGTGTTCTGCTACGCGATCTTACAGAGAACATGCTTACAACATTCAGTGTAATCAGCAGCTCCACATGAGCCCATGTGAATGACTACATCCACATAGAGGTGGAATATGTTTTATCTACTGTGATATTATCTAAAAGATCCCTGTGATCAACTTGCATCAAAGTGTTCTACAACTTCCAACTTGTATGAATCTCATTACTGCATCGTTGTCTCTATTAACTTTTATGTAATGTGCAAAGTAAAAGATTTATCAACTTATAGATAAGATTTTATTTTGATAAATCATAAAACAGCATAATTTACAAAATACCTTGTAATGACTGTGAGTTAAGTCAACTAAATAGGTCAAACTAGTAGATTGGGGTAATGAAAACGGTCGGAACATAAGAATTTAGTGGCTGAGGTTAGCATGATTGACCCCACGAAGACAGATGAGTAATTTAGAGAAAAAAAGCTCAGCACCGCATTGCACTGCATGCATTAACACAAAACCAGACAATAGGATGGTGGAAGAGGGTTAAGATTCGAAGAAGTAATCTATGTAGGTGAAGAGAGCGACAGAGATTGATTACTGAATCCTGTCTGGTTCATCGAGTCTACACACCCAACACAACAGATGCAACAGAAATGACTCAATGCAAATACCAGAAATATGCATGGAAGATATTATTACCACCAGTCAGTCAGTCAGTCAAATCAGAGGAGGAGAATAAATAATCTCAAAATTCTATTTCAATTCAAGCACATCACAACATTGTAACAAGTTACTTATTATTATGACTATAAAAACACTCGACTTATTTCCTATCTGATAGTAATTGATCAATAACATTATCCTATATTGATTTTTATTCAAGTGTCTAATCCATTTCGCTCATGTATATAAATGAAGTTTCTGTAGCGATTTGGTTGTTTTACGGCGGTGGAGTTGCTAGCACCACGCCTCAACCCTCCCTCTTTATCTGGGCTTGGGACCGGCAAGAAAACTAGCGAGCTAGTAATCTAGGCTGCCTTCGCTCTATACTGAAGATCAGATGGCCGGGCCGGAAAGAATCACCAACAAGAACAAAGAAAACAAGAACCAATCGTCAACCAACAAATATGCAGGAGAAAGTGGAGATGGATTGGACACTCGCTGAGGAGGCCGCTAGGTGACATCGCGCGTCAAGCCCTCGAGTGGAACCAGGCTGAAAGGGAAGCGGCGAGTGGGACGTCAGTGCAAGGGTGACATGGAGGAGATCGTGTAAAGAGGAGTTGAAAGAGTATGGACTAAGATGGATGCAGATAAAAAGTACAGCAGAGGACAGAAGCAAGTATAGGTGTGCAGTTGAAGCCCTATGTTCCACTAGGAACCCAAGGGAGCAATACTACTAATAATATAAATGAAGCAAGAAAGTTGTGTGAGTGAGTACCTTGATATGATTATGATCAATAGTTTGGGCTGGAAACGTGGTCATCAGTTAAAATTACTGTACAACAACACTGTGCGATTTATCAAGATAAAATCTTATCCATAATTGACTTACACTCTTCCACAGTGCCCAAGTTTTATACTTAAATTAATCATTTGTCAATGTAGGTTAGTGGTAGGTGTGCATCCAGTCGGGATGTGAGAATGGATTCCCCATCGGATGACATCAGTGGTGGTGTCAGTCACGGCAAATATCACAAATTGTCGAAAGTTAGAAGAAGAATTCATGGACCGGCTATTTGAAGAGTCAGAGATCTCAGTGGGTGGGTGGCTAAATAGTCTACCTTGAAGGTCGTGGGTTGGTGGGCGGGTGAGTACTGCTGATGATCAAACAGCTCTCCGTTCAGTACTCCTCCAGTACTGGTTCTTCAGTGCTTCTCTCTCTCTCCCTCTAACTGTGATTTCAATCCGTGGTCTAACTTGAAAATGCACAAATTAACTCTTGAAATATTTAGAATATCATGCGATATCCATGTGTCATATATGCTTGATTGATTCTGTTTTCCTGTTATTAAATTCATCTCCATTATTACAGCTTGATATCATCTATCGAGAGTATAACAAAGAAGTGGATACATGCGATCAAGAGTGTGAGGTAAGTTTGTTGTCCTTGTTGATGACCATCTAAATAAAATTACTGTCTTCAGCATGAAAAACGCAGAATTCAAAATTATTTAGTTTCATTATGTGAAGAATTGAAAAGACGATTAGAGCATGATAAAAAGAATATTGAATTAACTCCAAGTGGAGGTGAGTTGAAGGCTGGTGTATGCAATTTTTGTGTATAGAAACAACAGTTGATTTATTTTTTGTTTTTTATGTACTATAGTGATAACTATTCAACTAGCGTCTACAGAGTTACGCTTAACATCTTCTTGAATGCGATATAAACACCATTATTATTACTTTTCACCTGTATCCATATTAGTCCATACTCTTTCAACTCCTCTTCAAACGATCTCCTCCATGTCACCCTTGCACTGACGTCCCACTCGCCGCTTCCCTTTAGGCCTGGTTCCACTCGAGCAATGGCCTGACGCTCGCGCGAAGTCACCAACCGGCCTCCTCAGCCGCGAGTGTCCAATCCATCTCCACTTTCTCCTCCATATTTGTTGGTTGACGATTGGTTCTTGTTTTCTTTGTTCTTGTTGGTGACTCTTTCCGGCCCGGCCATCTGATCTTCAGTATAGAGCCAGCGAAGACAGTTGTTGGTTGATTAAGGTCTGCAACAGGCTGTTGGAAATATTCTTTGTGACCCACCCGCCAAGTTTCTGATCCGTATAGAAGAACTGACTGACTTGACGTGTTTGTATTCAAAATCCGACCGAATTTTGTTGTTGATGCTGAGTTGAGTGACGAAGATTTCCAGATTGGTTTCAGGTTGATGAGTGAATGTGTTTCTCGCCTTCCCGATTCTCGCTCGATTTGATATCCTCGTCCGTTCCGACTGCCTGTAGTTGATACAATGCTCCCTAGATGATAAGTGAATGAAGTAACCTCTTTCAAATCCCTCCCGTTGATGGTGATTGGCGCTGGAAGTTGCTGCTGTTGTTGTTGTTGTTGGTTGGTTGGTTATCTTCATAACCTCCGTCTTGTCTTTGTCCACCTAGAATCTTGTCTTCCCTGGCTGCTTCTTCGACCAGTTTGTCGGTTTTCGCTTGTAAGTCTTTGATTTTGAGTGACATCCAACATAAATCATCCACGGGCGAAGTCCAGGTCTTCTAGGTTCTTCACATCGGTCGGGCCAGGATATCCCTGTCTTCTCGTTTCTCACTGTCTGACGCATAATGTCTGTCTGTTTTCGACATAGAACTTTGCACAAATGTGCGGAAGTTCAAGTCGCCACATTCCGTGTAGCACGCGAAGCAAGAGAAGAAAGTACAAGAAAAGCATAATAGAAACAGTGAGCAGAGGTGTGAGACAAAGGAGTAATAAAGAAGAACAAAACAGTTTCATTGGAGATCATAAGTCACAAGGAGTGGATGCATCTGCGCTGTCACTGAGAACGATTTTGAGCCATGTCACCAATTGTTTCCAACCATAGATTTTTACCGTCCCGAGGACCCCAGCCTGGAAGTCTACACCTTCCTACGTGGCTTAGACCAACTGTTGTGGATTTCATTGACTGGTGATGCCAAGTTTTTGTTTGACCGCCGCTAGCTTTTTTCCAGCCTGACCCTATATCCGCTAACATTGCTCGTCGAGGGAGGCGATGGCTTGGCATACGTAACACATGTCCTAACCATCTCAGTCTTTGTAGCTTCACGACTTCGTCGATTGATTTCCCCTGTTTACCTAGAACTCTACGCCTAACCTCCATGTTGCTCACCTTATTATGCCACTTTACACGGGAAATAGAACGCAGGCACCTATGATCAAAGACAGCTAGTCTTTTCATGTCTTCCACTCTCAGTGGCCAGGTCTCACAACCATAAAGGAGGACGGAGCGGACTGATGAGCAGTACACCCGCCCTTTGGTCGATAGTCGAACATCTCGTCTACGCCAGAGTCGGCGTAAACTAACAAATGCGAAACGAGCCCCTTGTATTCGTGCTGAGATTTCGTCAGAGATCAGCCCGTTGGGGCTGATGGTACTTCCCAAATAAGTGAAGCGGTCAACGTGCTCTACCACTTCACTTCCTATTTTTAAACTAGGCGTCGATGTAGTCCAGTCCTGTAACATCATCTTGCATTTGGCGGGAGCGAATCGCATGCCAAACATTCGTAGATTGCGGCTCAAGGTGTTTAGAAGACTCTGCATTTCGTCAGCGTCTTCGCCTAGAAGGACTATATCGTCTGCATATTCCAAGTCAACGAGATTATTCCCGGTAGCAAGTCAATCCCTGAGTCGCTGAAGTCACCTAGGGTTAAGTCCATTAACACATCTATGATGAAGTTGAATAGAAAAGGAGATAATGGGCATCCTTGACGGACACCACTGGTCGTCATCAGTTCAGATGACAGCTCGCCGTAAGCCCTCACCTGGCTGTATGAGTACGAGTAGAGTGCCTTAATCAGTGCAATATATTTTCTCGGAATTCCCTTTACAGCCAAGCATCTCCAGAGAACTTCCCGATCGACAGAGTCGAATGCTGCCTTTAGGTCAAGAAATATAATGACTGTTGGACGCCGGTAGGAATGCCTATGTTCTAGAATCTGTCGGAGGGTGAAGATATGATCAATACACCCTCTTCCTGGTCTAAAGCCTGCCTGGCTCTCTCGTGTTTGTGCTTCCCGAGCACCACTCAGTCTACGCATGATTATTGAGCCTAAGACTTTAGATACTATATTAGTCAAGCTAATCCCTCTGTGATTATCACAGGAAGACTTGTCTCCCTTCTTGTATATGGGGATAATCAGTGACTTACACCAACCCGATGGGACTTCTTCTGATTCCCAGACGCTGCCTAGTACCTCAGTTAATCCGGACAGTAAGCTGTCTCCACCGTACTTAAATACCTCTGGAGTCATTCCATCAGGTCCCGCTGCTTTGCCTAGTTTCAGATTGGTGACAGCTTTAGTAACCTCAGTTAGTGACGGAGGACCTGTGTCTATATCCCATTCAGGGAGGTGTTGGATGCTCGGAAGGTTGAGCGTGGCTGTGGGCAAATTAAACTGCTCCTCATAATGCTCTTTCCAACGATCCAGTCGTCTATCCTGGAGCTAATTATAGTGCCATTTTTTTCCGAGATTGTCTCACTAATGATTTGTCTTCTCCCACCCGTTTCCCTGATGAGTCCAAAGAGTTGCCTGGTGTTGCCTATCCTCGAAGCTTTCTCCATCTCTTTGGCTTTTGTCGCCCACCACTGTTCACGGTCCTTGCGGAGACTTTTCGTAAGTTTCCTCTTGTGCAGCTTTCGCTCCTCATTGAATTCGGAGCTCGCCGGAATAAGTCTTCTAGCATCTATCAGTTCGGATGAGGCGGTGGAGATCCAGTGGTTTTTACTCACCTTTGGGTTTACCTTATTCACAGCTTTTACAGCTGTATCTATGGCTGCCTGGATATTTTTCCAAGCTTCTTCAGGGTGAGCACAGCTGTCGAACACAGATATGTGTTTAGCTAGTTCTTCCTGAAATACGGATTTAGTTTCCTGATCGAGCTGGGGACGTGATGGTTTTACCGCCAGCTGTTTCCTACGTCCGTTCAGTCGTAAGCACACCCGAGCGCGGACCAGTGCATGGTCGGTATCTACGCACGTGTTCCAGAAGGAGCGACAATCTCCTACCGACCCACGCCAACGATAGCTTATTGCTATGTGGTCTATTTGTGTCCAGCGTTGGTTTGATGAAGGGGGTCTCCAAGTCAAACAGTGTCTCTCCTTGTGTTTGAAGTTAGTGCTTACAAGAAACAAATGATTATCAGAGCAGAACTGTAGGAGACGGTCACCGTTGTCGGTTCGCTGGCACGGGACTCCATAGGTGCCACCGACATCCTTCTCAGATTGACACAATTTCCCTACTTGAGCGTTAAAGTCACCAGCTAGAACGACTATGTCTGAGCGTTTAGCCTTTCCACCAAACTAGACAGCTTTTGGTAGAACTCATCCTTCGTTTCATCTGAACTGCAGTCAGTGGGGGCGTAGGCGGAGATTACGAAAAGGCATCGGCGAGTAGTGCAGTCCTTTCTCCTTCTTACTGATCCGTTCAGGCGGACAGCACACATTCGGCTATCTACCGGGATCCAGTCAAGCAATGTCTTTTCTGCCCTAGTACTCAAAGCTATCCCTACGCCAGCTAATCCTCGTGAACTAGCTGTGGCATCTCCTGACACCCTCAAGGTGAATTTTGCAGATTCAACCTGTTGGCCAGGTGGGGTTAGGTGAATAACCACACTTGGGTCTTGTATGCGTGTTTCTGAAACACAGCATACATCAATGGCTCGTGATGCCAGGGTCTTGGCTAGTGATGCTTGTTGTCCTATTTGGCAAAGTGTCCTAACATTAAGAGCTCCTATATGAAATTGGTGGCGCGGCTTTAAGAGGCTGTCGGTGGTGGTTTTTTGGCTTCCATCGTTTTTAGTGGACGCAGAGTGGAGAGGAAGTGGAGAGCTATCAAGTCGAGGAGTTGCATCAGTGGAAGGAAGGCAAGATGATAGAGATGAAGATGAAGACAAAGATGAGTGAGTAATAGAGAGGTTTCGTGTGCATTTCGGATTGTGAGGGCGATTGTTACTTCCCGGCTGCCCACACCGTGGAAGTTGGTTGCGTGACCGCAGAGCCCAGGGGACAACTGCTTGAGGCCGGTCACACGCGGCCTGTTTTTGTTCGTTCTTTTTGTTTGGTGTGCTCAGTAGCATATTTATCACTCCTGCCCTGTGACACGGCAGCAGGAAGCGCGGTCGTTGTTAATCCGGGCCACGGCCGATCCGGCATGAAATTTTGTGATTTTGTATTGATCATGATGTTGGATTGGGTAGCTGCTTTTTGTTTAACCGCTATCCAAACAACCTTCTGGCATGGTAGACCTCAAGAGACATAAGTCTCAGCCGATATAGCTTGAATAGATCATTGAGGTGTTCGAGCCCGACCACCTCGTCAAGGTAGCAACTTTCGGTCGCATAATCCAGTCCACCACAATTAGGAATATCATTTGTGATACATAATAAGCACCCTTGTTTGACACGAATCCTCCATCCTTAATTGAGGTCACATAAAAGCTGTTTGTAATATGAAAGGAGATAAAACAACGGGATTCGATGGAATGACTCCAGAGGTGTTTAAGGACGTTGGAGACAATTTACTGTCTGTGTTAACTAAGGTTATTAGGCAACCTCTGAGAATCACAGATAGTCCTGTTGGGCTGGTGTAAGTTATTGATTATCCGATGTACAGGAAGAGAGACAAGTCTTCCTGTGATAGTGGTGTCTAAAGTTCCAGGCTCAGTACCCATGCGTTCACTAAGTGGCGCTTGGGAGAAACATGCGTGAGTAAACCAAGCAGGTTTTAGACCAGGTAGTGGATGTCTCCATCATATTTCTACCCTTCGTCAAATTCTGGAGAAAATAGGCATACTTACCATGGCGTCCAATAATCGCTATATTTCTTGACCTAAAGGCGGCGGCATTCGATTCCGTCGATCGAGGGGTACTATGGCTATGTTTGGCTGTGAAGGGAATGCTAAGGAAATACATCGCACTTATCAAGGCACTCTACTCGAACTAATGCAGTCAACCATGCAAGAGCTTACGGCGAGCTGTCATCTGAAATGGTGACAACCAGTGGTGTCCGTCAGGGATACCCACCATCCCGATTTCTGTTAAATTTCATCATGGATTTATTTGCTAATGGAATTAATTCTAACTGAATTGAGCGACTCAGGGATTGACTTGTTACCACCAGGGAATAATCTCGTTGATTTAGAATATGCGAATGACACAGTCCTTCACCTTCTAGATGAAGACGCTGACAAAATGCAGAGTCTTTTGTAATTGATAGTGTTCTCTGAGCTCCTTGGTTTAATTGCGGAGCTTTCATCGCCTTTCTGGACGACATCTTCAGCGCAGTATTTAGGATAAAGTGAAATGATTTAAATTTCTTCATGAGTCTCCCGGTAACCATCTTTAGATATTTATTGACCGTTTTCTATTGATTGGGATTTTAAACTTCTTGATCACCTGATTTACTTCTTATTAGTTGGTATATTTCATCTATATTAACGTGTTTATTAATGGCATTTTCATTTGATTATCAGGCTTCTAGGAATTCTCTGGCACATTTGGTGTTTCCTCTGTTTAAGATTTTGACATTATCATAATCAAATTGATGTCCATGATCGTCTGTATGTATTGATACTAAAGAATTTATATCATGTCTTTTCACGGCTGATTTGTGTTCCTGGATTCTTATTCGAAGGGGACACCCACTTTGGCCGATGTAATGTTTATTACAGTTCATACAATTTATTTTGTAAATGGTGTTAATTTTATCTCCCTTTTCTATCGGATCTTTTGGTTTGCATAAGATGGAATTAAGCGATTCAGCTGGTTTGTGTGCTACATCTATATCAAACGGTTTCATTATTCTAGCAGTTATTTCAGAGATGTTTTTGATGTATGTTAGGATGAATTTGTTTTTGGTCTTTGGTGATGGTTCTTTGTCGGTGCTTTCATTCGATTTTAAACACTTTTTGACGAAATTTTTTGGATAACCATTCTTCTTAAAGACTGTTTGTAAGTATTTTTCTTCCATTCTTTTCAACTGTGGTGTGCAGAGTCTTCTGAACATTTTGAGAAGCAACAATCCGAATGTTCGGTATCCGATTTGCTCCTGTCAAATGTAAGATGATGAGGTTACAGGACTGGACGGGACTGGACTACATCGGCTCTCTCGTAGCTTAAAGATAGGTAGGAGTGAAGTGGTAGTATGCGTTCGTCACTTCACTTATTTCGGGAAGTTGCATCAGCCGGCCCCGCGGATTGCACGAATGCAGAAGTCTAGTGTAGTATTTGCCAACCTACTCCATCTTTAGCGTAGAAGTGATTTCCGGTTGGCTGACTGGCTATCGACCAAAGGACGTGTTTACTGCTCAGAAATTCTCTGCGTCCTCCCTTATGACTGTGAAGCATGATCATTGAAAGTGGAAGACATGAAAAGCCTGGCTAGCTGTTTTTGATCAAAAGTGTCTGCGTTCTGTCTCCTGTGTGTGTTAGGTGGTGGTATAATGCGGTGAGTAATATTGAGGTTAGTCTTCGGTGGAGTGCTAGTTAAGGTGAAGGGAAAATCAATTATTGCGGTTGTGAAGTTACATCGATTATATTGAGTGAGATAGTTTGGAAATGAGTTATGCATGACTAGTCTAGCTTAGCCACTGCCTTCCTCGATAGCGAGCAATCTTGTCCGCTGACAGGATCTATCAGGTTAGAAAAGAGCTGGAACATGGCAGTCAATTCAAAACATGGCTTCATCACTCAATGAAATAATTCTCCCTTGTGATGAATTTCTCTTTACTCTCTCCTCCTGCTGCGTGTACTACATGGAGAGTGAGTGTGTGGCACCTGGAACTGCTGCACATCTGTGCAAAGGTCAGATGACGAGGATGTAAAGTTACATAGATTAAGAGAGATGTTTAGGACACGCATACCTAGCCTAACCTCTGGCCATCGCCTTCCTCGACACAACGGGCAAGGTTAGCTGACTGACATAGGGCGGATCAAGTAGGAAAAGGGCTAGTGGTGTTGGTGATCAAACCAAACACATGGCTTCATCAGTCAATGAAATCCATAACAGTTAGTTCTAAGCCAATTAACCATATAGGTAGGGAGGTGTAAACTGTCTGGCTGGTTGTGGAGTCCTGTGGATGGTAAGAACCAATAGTCGCGGCTGGACACAATTGCTGATGTAGCTGAAAATTGTCGTTTTCAATGGCTGGCACAGGCGCATTCACTCTGCTTTGTGATTTGTCAGTCATATCCAGTAAAACCTTATTGTTACTGCATAATACTATTGTTATTTTGCTCACACCTCTGTTTATTATCACTCTCTGTTCAAAGTTCTACGTTGAAATCAGTCGCTCCAAGTAGAACATCGGGCTTCAAGCTAGAGCTTTTTAGTTTCGGCAGCAGTGGTTTTATTTTTACGGGATATGGTTGCTAGTCTCACGCCCAGCCTTCCCTCTTCACCGACCTAGCGAGGTTTAAGAGTGCGTCTGTGGCCGGGAATTGAAACCCGAGCCACGTGTGGCGTGGTTAGCGAGCGTCCTACAGATGAATTACTGACGCACTTTTCGAACCGATAAATACTAAAAACTTCGGAATGTTGATCCCTCGATAACTTTTACTGATGATTACTCTAGCAATGTTAGCGGATATAAGTCAGGCTGGAAAAAAGCTAGCGGCGGTCAAACAAAAACATGGCCTCACCAGTCAATGAAATCCACAACAGTTGGTCTAAGCCACGTAGGAAGGTGTAGACTTCCAGGCTGGGGTCCTCGGGACGGTAAAAATCTATGGTTGGAAACAATTGGTGACATGGCTCAAAATCTTCCAGTGGCGCAGATGCATCCACTCCTTGTGACTTATGATCTCCAATGAAACTTTTTTTCTTCGTTATAACTATTCCTTGTCTCACACTCGCTCACTGTTTCTATTATGCTTTTCTTGTACTCTTCTCTTGCTTCGCGTGCTACACGGAGTGTGGGACTTGAACTTCCGCACATTGTGCAAAGTTCTATGTCGAAAACAGACATCAATTACGTCTTATACCGCAAGATATCTAGTTCGAACATATCTATAGGAGTGTAACGACATAAGACAAGAGCCAGGCAACAGATCGTTTATTGAGAAAATCAAGAGGTATTTATAGATTTTTATTTGCATTATTATTAGCGTTATTGTTAGCGGAGAAGCAACCTCTTCTGATTGGTTGTTTTCTTGCCGGAGGTTATTCTGTACTGCTTGTGACCGTTCCTTGGAAAGCTAAGCCATATATCTGCGAATCGTATTTGCTCACGTTAAGTTTGCTGTGATTTTGTAGTTTTAGGCGGGGAGGATGGGGACGAACCTACCAATGAACTTAACACACTCTCTGAAAAGCAATTTCGTCTCCCCAACTCAACTCTAATCTTGATGTTTCTGTATGCTAATGTGAATGTAACACTAATCTCTATCCCTAACCAACTCTAATATCTCCCTGTTCTCAGGTTAACCTGTTTTCGCGTTTCAGAGTTATTGGTGCGTTCATCCCCTCCCCCCCACACTCCTAGCATCGTTATTCTTTAACTTAGTTTTTACTCTGGCACCAGTAAACAACAGACAACACACTCAAGTGTCGGTTTGTAGGAATTGATGAGTTGGTTACAGGATTTCATCATGAGCTGACATTAGTTAGAGAACCATTGGAAAACCTACATTGGAGTATTGGACAGCTGTTTCGTCCTAGCTTGGGACTTGGTTACAAGCCATTAAGTTGGGACCATTAGGGTGCAGCAGGTCGGGTGTGAAGACGAATACTCGCCGAAGACATTGGTCTGGGGGTCACGCTACGTCGTGAATTGGCAGAAGTTGGAATTCATGCATTGACTGGCCATTGGATTGACGGATCCCAGTGGCTGGCTGAAATGGTCTACGAGCTAGCTGCTCGCCTTGTAACCAGAAGGTCGTGGGTTCGAACCCTGGCAGTGGGTGGGTGCGTACTGATGAAGAGTCCCAAACTAGGCTGATGAAACAGCTGGCTGTCCAGTACTCCCTGGCTGATTTTCCAATGGTTTTCTAACCGATCAACGTCAACTCATGATGAAATCCTGTAAGCAGACATCACACTCGAATGACCTTGAACCAACTAATCAATGTCTGACTTGTTTTTTAGTAGATTAATAATAGTTATATAGTTTTCTAATTTATACAATGTCACTTGTTTTGCAAAAAAATAATAATTTAGATGTCCTCGAATTCAAGCCTACTGTCACTCGGAAACTAAGACGACGTGCTGGTGGCGGTGGGGGTGGAGGTGGTGCTGGTGGCGCCGGCGGCAGCGGCAACACCGGAGGAGGAGCAGGAGGAGGAAATTCTGGCGGTGGCTCTGCTAGTGCTGGTGGTGGTGATGATGGCGGTGGTGGAAATGATGTAACCCCTTCAAATCCTGCTAACTTTATGTACTGGGGGGATTTACTTCTTTGTGGTGCTAGTGGTGGTTCACGATGGCCAATCAACTCAAATTTAAACTCAAAGCTACAACGATCTGAATCAAACGATATGCGTAGTCCTGTTACCAATAATGATGAGGAGAATACTGATCTCGGTGGCCAGCCGTCTATATCATCCAATGGAGAAAATGAGTCGAAAGAGACTCCTACTGCAGCAGATGAAAAATTAGTGACAACTACAAATACAGGGAATAATGATAGTGGTGATAATACTATCTCATCGGTATGTGAATCATCGACAACGGCGTCGACGACGATGACGACGACTACTAGTACTACTAGTAATACCACGACGCATACGACGCAGACAATGTCAATGACGACCACTGTGTGCAATTCAGCCTCTAAGACGACGAATATGTTTGGAAGTTTAGGGCTAAATCTATACGATGGAAGTCTACTATCGCATTTACTAGCTTTTATGAATAGTAATAATAGTTATAATAATAATCATAATAATAGTAGTAGTAATATCGCATTATCCTTTGCCAGTTTCTATGGTAATTCGTCATCCTCTGCTGCTATTGCTCCTACTGCTGTTGGTGGTGGCGGGGTAGTGGTGGCGCTGGTTGTTCATCAGAGACTGCAAGCAGCGGCAACAGCATCGGCGTCAACAGTAGTACTAGTAATAAAATAATAATAATAATAATAATAATACTAGTTGTGTTGGTGTTAATTCGCCATCTGTTGTTGCAAATGGTGTTCTCCTCCCATCGAATAATGGAGTTGTAGTTAGTAATGCGAGTGGTGGAGGTGTTGGAAGTGGCGGTGTCGGTGTCGGTATCGGTGGTCTATCCAACAGTGTTGTCGGCTTATCATCAGTTGCGGCTGCAGCTGCTATCAGTTGTGGATTATTACCACATTCAATCAATCATCATCATCCTCATCCTCATAATAACATAAATAATAGTCCATTGTCATCTATGCGTAAACGACGTCATCAAAATAATGCACCCAATGCCCAGTTGAATCTTTTACTCCCTGAACATGATATCTATGCAGATTTGACAATTATTCACAGGTAAGAAAACAATGGGTGGTTTTCATTTTTATTGTAATTGTTTGCTTTTTTGTGTTTTTATTTTTGTTTTTTCTAGCATGTGCGTTGCTAAGGTATATATATATATATATATATATATATATATATATATATATATATATATTACGAAATATTATTATCAGTTAGAGAACCATTGGAAAACCAGCCAGGGAGTACTAGACAGCCAGCTGTTTCGTCAGCCTATTTTGGGACTGGTTCTTCAGCAGTACGCACACCCACACACCCAATGCTAGGGTTCGAACCCACGACCTTCTGGTTACAAGGCGAGCAGCTAGCTCGTAGACCATTTCAGCCAGCCACTGGGACCCGCCAATCCAATGGTCAGTCAATCCATGAATTCTAACTTTTGATGAAGAGTCCCAAACTAGGACGAAACAGCTGTCCAGTTTTCCCAGGTGGTTTTCCATTGGCTCTCTAACTGATGTTAGCTCATAATGAAATCCTCCATGCAATCAAAACAAAATCCCTACAAAAAGCAATACTTGAAAAATTGATCTGATGCTCACTACTAGCCTAGAGGAGAGCCGTGACCAGTAGGGTGCAGCAGGTTGAAGGTGAGTCAGTAACTCATCATCGAGGAAGACATTGCGAAGTGGTCGCGCTACTTCATGAATTATTGAGAAGGTCGTGGGTGCGAACCCTGGCAGTGGCTGGGTGGGTGGGTGAGTACTGATGAAGAGTCCGAAACTAGGCTGACGAAACAGCTGGATGTCCAGTACTCCTTGTCGGTTTTTTCCAGTGGTTTTCTAACTGATGTCAGCTCATGTTGAAATCCTCCAACCAATCAAACAAAATCTAAAAACAATAAAATTATTATAATTATTATTGTTCCCTTGGGTTCCGAGTAGAACATACCGCTTCAACAACATGTCTTCACTTTGTCCTACTTTCTGTTGTCCTTTGTAGCTGCGCCGTAGATTACCCGTAGCCTCTCATCTCTTCCTCTCCAAATGATCTCCTGTATGTCACCCTCGCTCTGACGCTCCCAATCATCGTTTCTTATTCGGGTCCCACTCGAGTAATGGCCTGATGTGTCATGTCATTCAACGGTCACCCCATTGGCATGTATCCATCCGACTCATCTCCATTTTTTGCCTACATATTTGTTGAGCAATAATAGGTGTTCTTGGGCTGGTTGGTTTGTTTATTCCCATAGTTTCTTGTTGCTGGCTGTTTCTGGTCAGCCAGCCAGCCGTTTGATCTTGTCAGTGTGGAATGGGAAACGATGACTGTGAGGCGGCGTCAGTGCGACAGTGACATGGAGGAGAAGATAAGAGATTATGAGTAATTGTGGGTTCAGCTAAAAAGAACAATAGAAAGTAGAATAAAATGGAGACGTGCTATTGAAGCGGTATGTTCCAATCGAAACCCAAGAAAACAATGATATAATAATAATTCCTCTTCCCCCCCCACTGACTGGTTACCAGGGTATAATCTCATTGACTTAGAATATGCAGATGATATAGTCCTCCCTCGTAAGTGTAGATGCTGACAAAATATAGCAGAGTCCTCTAAACACTTTGAGCTGATCATCAGTCTTCAAATGTTTGACATGCGATTCACTCGCTCCTGTCAAATGTAAGATGATAAGGCTACAGGACTGGATCACATTGATTCATTCCTAGCTTAGAAATAGGGAGTGAAGTGGTTGGTGGAGCGTGTTGGCCAATTCACTTATTTGGGGAGGGGAAGTTGCATCACCCCCATCAGCGAGTAGTTGGTCTGACTGCTGACGAAACCTCAGAACGGATGCCGAAGGCTCGTTTGATATATGCATACCAACTCATGCCGTCTCTGCCTTAGTAGACGACTGGCTGGCTATCTGTCGAACAAAAGACCTGTGTACTGCTCAGTAGTCGCTTCGCTCCGTCTCCTTTTATTGCCGGCTGTGACTGAGACATGGCCCCCCCATTGAGAGGGGAAGACATGAAAAGCCTGGCTAGCTGACTGTCTTTCATTATAGGTGTCTGCCTGTGTTCTATCTCCCGTGTGTGTTAGGTGGCAGGTGGTGATATGATAGGGTGAAGTAATATTGAGGAAGTTAGGCTTCGGCCGAGTGCCAACTAGACAAGGAGGAGGGAAGGTCAGTCGACGAGGTTATGCAGTTACATGGATTGAGAGAAATGGATACGACACGTGCTACTCATGACTAGCCTAGCCTAGCCCAGCCGTCGATCGCCTTCCTCGACAATGGACAATGTTAGCTGACTGACGTAAGATGGATGAAGTTGGAAAAGAGCTAACACATCGCGTGGTCCAGCAAAAACATGGCTTTATCAGTCAATGAAATCCATAACAGTTGGTTCAAGCCAGCCATATTGGGGGATGTAGACTTCCTGACTGTCTTTGTGGTCCTTGGGATAGTAAGAACCAATGATGTTGGCTGGAGACAATTGGTGATATGGTTCAAAATCGTTCTCAATGACTCAAATGCATGCATTCAGTCTTCTTTGTGATTTGTCAATCATATGCAATAAAACTCTATTGTTCTTCCATATTACTGTTCTTTCTGCCTCACATTTCCCTTTATTATCCGTCTTTTGAATCTGTCTTTACCCTCATGTCTTGATTTATGTGCTGTGTGCAGTGTGGGAACTGGAACTGGTTCACATATGTGTATAATTCCATGCTGGAAACAGTCAGTCACCTATGTAATTTTCAAATAGTCAATTTGAAAAACCAAAAAATATAGTCAAATCCACAGTATAATATGATCTATAGTTGATTTGTAAGGATTAGATTTGTGTTAACGAGTTGATCATGGATTGATATCAATTAGAGAAGCATTGAAAACCAGCTTGGAAGTACTGGACAGCTGTTTCGCCAGCCTAGTTTGGGAATTATCGGCAGTACGCACCCACCGCCAGGGTTAGAACCCAGGACCTTCCAGTTACATGGCAAGCTAGCTCGTATACCATTCAGCCACTGGGACCCGATCCAATGGCTCATGAATTCTAACTTCTACTGTGATGAGAGCTGGCTGTTAGCCGAAATTGGTGGACAGTAATTTACGTCAATGTTTACGTCCCCAATATTGGTCGTGAGAAAAATGAGAAGAAAGGCTTTGCGTAGGCGGATACAGTTAACATATAGATGATCTGACATTCAAGAAACAGTCACAAAGAGATGCAAGGTCAACTTTCTGTGAGAAACAACCACTAATCAGAAGACTGTGTTTGTTGGTTTGCTTGAATAAGCTATAATAATGTACATGAAATATATATAAATACGTGTTGATTTCCTTAATAAACGATCTGTTGTCTGGCCCTTGTCTTCTGTTGTTACACTACCAATTCGTGATTTAGCACGACCACAGCCAATGTCGTCAGTGGACATCCATCTCCACACGTGAGTGAATCGGATCCCAGTGGCTTAATGTTATACGAGCTTGCCTTGTAACTGGAAGGTCCTGTATTCGAACCCTGGCACTGTGGTGGGTGCCTACTGATGGTGATGATTCCCAAACTAGTCTGATGAAACAGCTGGCTGTCCGATAATCTCCCCAGCTGGTTTTTAATGGTTCTCTAATTGATATCATCAATCCATGATCAACTCGTAAAAATTATGTGTTCTGTTTAATGCCATGAATTGAAATCAATCAATCAAACAAGAAATATATACATATTGTATGTGTGTATGCGCGGGTGAACATATACTACTGTTGATTCATATGATTAGTTGGAAACCATTGACGTCAACTAGAGAGTTATGCTTGCTAGCCAGATGGAAATGACTTAAACTACAGTTGATCTCATTCCTCTTGTTACGGAGAGAGGCACAGGGAGACAGCGAGTGAGAGGCTGCATCATTTCAGGCTATACTGGCCTTAAGAATTCGACGGCTCGGTGGGCAGGGTGGGATTCATGCACCTTCGAGATTTTTGGGAAGTTTAGAATTATCATGCATTTCAATAATTTGTTGCTATTCCCCTCAACTACTACACATATATATATATATATATATATATATATATATATATATATATGGCAAATAAATTACCTTTCAGAGAAGAGGTTCAATTTTCGTCTCGTTCATTCATTATTATAAGAAAATCTTCCAGATTATATTGAGTAATCTGTTAATATTCTGGTTGACAGGCACTTGGACTCATGTGAAAAGTGGGCTAAAACCATTTTATCTAACTCACACCACCCTGTTCATTCACAACTCTCCCTTTGTATGTCATCAGGCAGAACCAGAAGCCTATATAGAAAATTATATGCTGGCACTAGCAAGTACAAAAATTCAATCATACCCTACTTAGCTTGTGTTCCGTGCGATAAAGAAAGCATTAGGCATCGTGATACCTATAACTTATTAAATAGTCAGTAGAACAACCGGATCTCGTCTTTCTAACTCATATCATTTTGAGGTACAACGTTTTCTTTCTTTCTTTTTTTCTTATGTGCTGTTTTGTTTCTTTCTTCCGCTTACGTCAGTAAATATTCTAGCATCTACTTTTCTAACACCTTCTAACGCTCTGTTCAATTTTGGCTTTGTTACCGCCATGCCAATATGTTGTTGTCATTAATGAACTGAGATTACCCTTAATCTATGTAGAATTTTAGTTATAGTCCATGTACTAACTGGATGCAATACTCTAGTGTAAAATGCTGAGAACTCCATTCTGTATCACAAGTACTGTTTTGAAATTAAGCAGACTGTGCGTCGGTGGCACAGTGGTTAGGACTCTCGCCGACCATGCACATGATCCGGGGTTCGAGCCCTCACCGACGCACACCTGATATCTATGGTTGGCCTGCGAAATTTGGGCTACCGATATCACATGCTTAAAATTCCATACTTGTACCAAAAATATGGTGTGGAATCAAGCTGTAATCAAAACTAAACTAAAAAAAAATATTGACGCATTTAGAAAAAAACAGGAACAAATTGAATGAAGAAATATACATTCTTTCACTTCAATTAGTTCCTTATCATCGACTCTACCTACACACTAATATAAATATCAAAAGTTTACCAGTCTTATTGTTATTTTAGTTCATCAATTTTAGGTATTAGGCGGGGGGGGGTGGGGTGAATTTAAGTGGTTCAATTCATCGAAAACATTTAACTTAAAGGTATAAATAACAAGATATCTAAGTTTTTTTTAAAGGTGGGTGAAAATTAATTACAGAATTCAAGAGAAGTCAATTCATAGGGCTTAACAACAAGTTATTACATATAATTTGTGGATGCTGACTACCTGTGGAATCCAGGATAATGTGCATTTTGTTCTATTTGGGACCCGTCGTCTGGATGTACCTGCATTTCCCAGTGAGTGATGGTGTTCCCACCGAGGCCAAGAACCCAGTGCCCATAGCTTCGAACGCCAAAGTGTCATCCACTAGACCACTTGGGCCACGAGAGCTACCGTCTCTTGTGCAACGGGTCATATTAATTTAATTAAATGCCCAGACATCGTCGATGCATCTGCACAAGAAGCCGACATGTCAACCTGATACCCGAGCACTTCGATCCAATTAATCGACGGGAAAATCTAAAAATTTAATTAAAAAAAATTTATTACATAACCAAGAAATGTGTAAAATAAGGGGTGAATCAGAAGAATTACGTAATAGAATAGAATTAGCTAGAATTGTATTCGCATAATAGACTAACAAAGTCAAAGAATAGTCACAAATGGAGGGAAAAGAATCGTTTTTAAAGACTTAATACATATTTGTGTAGTTAGTCAAGGCAAAGAATTGGGCTGTTCATACTTCTTTTGAACTGACTCACAGATTTGGCTGGTTCAGATAAATTCCGATTACCTCCTCTGCATGTGTGTGTAAAAGTCGTACTCGTAGACCATGCGGCGAGAGGTTGAGTGAAATACAATAAATGACTTTGAAAGCTTTGTTAGAGTCGACTTGATGTCCAATCAGTATCGATTAGATTCAGCTAGTATTCATGAGCTGCGTATAGCAGCTTTATTCTGATCTTTGCCAAATCAAGATAGGAAGGAGGTTTTCAGGAATTCGATTTTGAATTTGCCTGTCTAATGTGTAGCTAGCTTCACACGAGCAGTTAAACAGGGTAGTTTGCCTTTATTCCTCGAACTAAGGATTGGTTGGCTAGTGTGAATATACAGAACAGCTTAGCTGAGTTGAAAGTCATTTTGAAAGCCCTTCCCAGATGTGTTGTCATAAAATCTCACTATTAACATCACCACGTGAATTGCAATTTTAGGAAGACTTATTTTTTGGGAACTGTGGGCACCTTTAACTTTATACTTGCCGAGTTCATGTGTTTCTTTTAGGAAATTTTGTTGCATATCCGTTTCTACTTGGTAGGTCACGAATATTACCGAGTTCTTAGTTCGGTGGTTCATTTGAACAGATAATTGTAACTCCGTGAACGGGAAATGTGAACAAAATATGTTTGTATTTTAGAGGCATGAAATCCAAGGAAGCCAGTATTGTTTCCATTTGAAGTAGGTTTCCAGTGCAGTCGTCTACCCATTGTTCCGTCTATTTATTTAGTCAGTGGGGCGTCCAAAAAGTTGTTTGTATATTACGTAATTCTACTGAGTCATCCTATTCTTCGTAGCCGTCATCATTATTTTACAAATTTCTTGATTGCTCAATAATTCGTTGCTAACCCCTACGGATTAACTGACCTTGAATTCCGTAACTAATTAATTTTCACCCCCTCCTTACTTCAAAACTTAGCTATCCTGTTACTAACATCTATTAGTTGATTGTTTCGATGACTTTTAAATTCCCCTCCCCCTAGGTGTATACCTAAAACTGATAATGGGTTAAAATAACCACCTAATTAGTAAATTTTGATGTAAAAACTACATATTAGTGTAGCGCCATTAATGAGGAACTAACTGAAAAGGGATGCACATTTCTTTCGCTTAATTTGTTTTTTTTTTCAATATTCACTTTTTCAAGAGTTAGTTTGTAAGGGTTAGATTTATTTTATTTTGCTTTTTCGATTTTGATCACGTCGGATTGATGTCATTTAGAGAGAACCATTAAAAACCAGCACTGGAGGAAGGAGTACTGGAAAGCCAGCTGTTTTGTCAGCCTAGTTTGGGAATCATTGGCAGTATGCACCCACCCATCCATCCACTGCCACGGTTAGAACCTACGACCTTCCGGTTAAAAGACAAGCTATCTCAGAGTCAATTCAACCACCCACTGGGACCCGACTCTTCACTGGTCAGCCCATGAATTCTATTAACTTCTATCCATTCGTGAAATTCAGCGTGACTGGCGCAACCAGTGTCATCGGTAAGAAATGCATCCTCACACCCCGACTGGATGAACCTCACTGTTCACGACTTCTCACTAAAACTCCAGGAAACTCTGTCTTGTAGCATGTCACCGGCTAGCATCATATGAATTTTCAAAAGTTGGTTTGTAAGGATTAGATTTGTTTTTTTTCCGAAAACACTGAGTCGCTGAAGTGATTTAGGGTGAAGTCCATTAGCACATACATCTATGATGAAATTAAATAGAAATGGAGACAATGGACATCCCTGACAGGACACCACTAGTTGTCACCACTTCAGATGACAACTCGCCGCAAACTCTTCCATGACTGACTGTATGAGTTCGAGTAGAGTGAGTGGCTTGATCAGTGCAATGTATTTTCTCGGTATTCCCTTCACAGCCAAACATCGTCATAGTACCTCTCGGTTGGCAGAATCGAATGCCACCTTCAGGCAGGTTAAGAAATATGACGATTGTTGAACGTTGGTAAGAATGTCTATGTTCCAGAATCTGTCGAAGGGTGAAGATATGACCAATACACCCTCTTCCTGGTTCTCTCTTTTGTTTGCTCCCCTCGAAAACCGCTTAGTCTACGCATTATTAGTGAGAAGTCGTGAACAGTGAGGTATATCCAGTCGGGATGTGAGGATAGATTTCCCACCGATGACATTGGTTGGTGTCAATCACGCTTAATACCAGAATGGATAGAAGTTCTGTCTGTCTGCCTGTTTTCGACATAGAACTTTGCACCGATGTGCGACATTTCAAATCACCACACTCCATGTAGCACACAAAGTAACAGAAGAAAGAAGAAATGCATAATAAGGACAGCAAACAGAGGTGTGAGACAAAGGAATAGTAGTAACGAAGAACAATATAGTTTCATTGAAAATCATAAGTCACAGGAAGTGGATGCATCCGCGCCGCCCATTTAGAACGATTTTGAGCCATATCACCAACTCTTTCCAACCATTGGTTTTTACCGTCCTGAGGACTCCAAACACTCAAGAAGTCTTCACCTTCCTACGTGACTTAAACTAAGTGTTGTAGATTTCATTGACTGGTGCCATGTTTTGGTTTGACCACCGCTAGCTCACTCTTTTCCAGCCTGACTCTGTGTCAGCTAAGATTGCCCGTCGAGGAAGGCGATGACTAGGCATGCATAAGTAACGCATGTCCCAACCATCTCAGTCGATGTAGCTTCACAGCCTCGTTTATTGATTTCCCCTCCTTACCTAGTTGGCACTCCACCGATGCCTCAGATCAATATTGCTCACGTTATTATACAACTTCACATGGGACATAGAGCTCAGGCACCTATGATCAAAGACAGCTAATCTTTTCATGTCTTCCACTCTCAATGGCCAGGTCTCACAGCCATAAAGTTAGAAGAATTCGTGGGCTGGCCATTGAAGAGTCGGGTCCCAGTGGGTGGCTGAACGGTCCCCGAATTAGCTTGCCTTGTAATCGAAAGGTCGTGGGTTCTAACACTGGCAGTGGGTGGGTGGATGTTTACTGCCGATGATTCTCAAACTAGGCTGACGAAACAGCTGGCTGGCCAGCACTCTTCCAGTACTGGGTTTTCAATGCTACTCTCTCTAACTGATATCAATCCGCTGAGGTCATAAATCGATAAACTATACTTTTTGTTCTTTGTGTGTGTATTTTATTTCTGCTCGAATCTATGTGTATAGTGTTGCCCCCTCTTTCTTTCTTTCTTTTTAATATTTTCCTTCTAAAATATACTTATGCAACAGAGCATGTTCAAAGGCGTCAAATATTACAAATTCATCGAATAATGGACTATCGGGTAACAATCGTAAACATTCTTCACATATGATAAACAATAATGGTAATAATAACAATAATAACAATAATAGTACTACTAACACTAATAATAATATTAATTCCAATACATCTCAATTAGGTTATACCAGTCCATTGAGTCCAATGAACAAATGTTATGATGATAATAGTAATAATAATAACAATATAAACGTATGCAGAAATGCTAAAGACTTACATGGAGTCAATTCAACTGTTGCAACTTTATCCTCTTATTCTACTTCAATTGGTTCACCTAATCCATATAATAATAATATTAATGATTCCCCGACTACACGTAGTGGAACACGTAACAATAGCAGCCTTATGAGTAGTAGTGGTACAATGTTTGGCATTAATCCTATCGGCGCCACCGTCAACAACAACAACAACAGCAACAATAATATCAACAGTCCATTGAATACATCATCATTTTCTATATGGATAGATGATGGAAGACTTTATTGTGGACATAAATGGTAATTTTGTTAGTTAGTTAGTTAGTTTTTGTGTTTGTTTGTTTCGTTTGCATTTTTTGTTGTTTAACCAATGGGTTCTCGTGAAGATTTACAGACAAAAAAAAACCCAACAGTGTGAAGCAGTGAAGACAGGACTCCAACGGACAACAGCAGCAGCAACAACAACAACCGGTAGTAATAATCACCCCCATCGACGGGAGAGATTTAATAGAGGTTATTTCCTGCCTTCACTAATGCTGGCTAGGCAACCAGTAGTAGTATCGTTTCAACTATACAGGCGGCTTGAATGAATGAATGAATGAAGATGTCAAACCCAGTCAGCCAGCCAGCCAGCCAGCGGGAATCGGAAAGGCAAGATACGCTTTCGTCAACCTGAAACGAGTTTGGAAATCTTCGGCACTTCGCTCAGTCAGCATAAGGAAGATGATTCGGGTTTACGACATCAATGTGTTAAGTCGGTCACTGCTTCTATACGGGTCAGGAACTTGTACTGTACTCGCGTCACAAAAAGGATTTCCAACAGGCCAGTGCAGACTTTCATCAACAACTGCCTTCGATGGCTTCATTCTGAAGATCAAATGGCTGACAAGAAAGAATAAGTAACACGAAACTATGAAGATGAAGAAACCAGCAAGCAACAGCCGGTCGCTCAACAAATATGTAGTAGAGAATGAAGATGGATTGGGCATACTTCACTGAGGTGAACGTCGAATGACCTCGCACTCAATGCCAAGCCATGGCTCGAGGGGAAAATCCAAGTGGGAAGCGATGAGTGGATCGTCCTAGGGTGGTGACATAGAGGAGATCGTGTGTTGGGTAGGAGGAGATGAGAGATTGGGCCTGACCAGATGAAGAGGACAGCAGAAAATAGAATAAAGTGGAGATGTGTTGTTGAAGCCAGCCCTATGTTCCACTTGGAACCCAAGGGAATAATAATAATAATTAACCATTTTAACCCATTATTATTGTTATTATTATTATTATTAGTAGTAGTAGTAGGTTGTGACATTGAAATCTGAAACTGACGCTTTTAATTCTTTAATATTCGTGAATTGGCAGAAGTTGGAATTCATAGACTGGCTATTGGATCGGGTCTCAGTGACTGTATGGTCTACAATCTAGCCTACCTCATAACCAACAGGTCCTGGGTTCGAACCCTGGCAGTGGGGAAGGGCCGTATTGTGGTGTCTTGTCACATCTTGTCAGTAACACACCGCATACCCCTACTGCTTGCTAGCTAGCTCAATGTCATTAATTCAAATGCGTTGAGTTTTCAACTACTGATTGGTCTAGGAATGTAATCTCACTTTCTTCAGGCAGTAAGATTGGTGTGTTCACACAATGTACATGGATGGATGGCTCTTTGTGAAAGCCAGCTGAAAATGTTGATACTAGGTGATATTTTAAACTTTCTTCCTGTATTTTTTTTGTCAGTTATCAGATTGGTGCACCAGTAATCTTAGAAGGTCGTGATGGTTCAAGTCATCGATGCTCTGGTACTATAGCATCAATTGGTGTACAAGATATAGCTATCCGAAGAAGTTCAGATCATGGGATATGTCGTGTAACAGTTCAACAATTGAAACAAGGTAGATATGCTTTATGGCCAAATAAAACAGAATAGATTGATTGAATTTGTACACAATAAAATTATAAAAATATCAAAATATGCAATAAAATAATATATTTGTGTAATTAATTGTTGTTTTTACTTTTGAATACAGTGACAATTAGAAGACAAAAGATAGATTGAGTGAAGAGTACTCCTTTCAGTAACTTCCTCATCTGGGTCCATCATTATTGCTTCTTGGTGGATTGTAACTAGCAGTATAATCCAGGATAATGTGCATTTCTTCCTATTTGGGACTGACTCGTCAGCTGAATGTACCGTGCCTGTACTTACTTCCCAGTGAGTCAGCAATGGTGTTTCCCGCCCCCGCCCCCTCTCGCACTCAAGCTCGAACCCAGTACCCATCGTTTCAAACGTCAAAGTGGGTTATCCACTAGATCACTTGAGCCATGAGAGCTACCACGTCGTGTGCAATGGCTAACAGTAATTATTTAATTCAATGTGGCTTTCCTGGCGTCTGATTGAGCTGAAGTGCTTGGCCTCAGATTGTGACATGTCGGTTCCTTGTGCAGATGCTTCGACTTTGTGCATTTAGGTTTCCACTGCTGGTAACTACCCACCAAAATACTTCAAGTTAAATGATCAGACATCGTTGAAGCGTCTGCACAAGGAACCGACATGTCACAACCTGAGGTCGAACAACACTTCAGTCTAATCAATCGCCAGGAAAGCCAAATTGATTTAAATAATTATTGTTCGTGTTTAAATAATAATCATATCAATTTGTTATCGTCAGTCGAATTACAGTTGGAAGGCATGCGTAAGTGATAGTATGCATATACCTGTTCTCTCTGAGCTGAGGATGTGTAGCAACTCTATGTATTCGATTATCTCTGTTTCTCCGCAGAATTGTTTGCATTCGATGGCATCATCGTGTGATTGATTCAAAGGTTCGGCGGTGTGTGTGTGTGTTCGGACACAGTAGAGATCACCATTGGTTGGATATCGTCATCTGGAAATACCTCCTTCGGTGGCATAAATTTCATCCCGTACCACTGGTCTCTGTGCATTTCGGATAGGCAACACTAGGCAACTCTTTAGACTCATCAGAGAAACGGGTGGGAGAAGGCAAATCATAAGTGAGACTGTTTCTGAGAAAATTGGCTCCTTAATTAGCTCTCAGGATAGACGCCTTGAACGCTGGAAAGAACACTTTGAGGGACAATTTAACTTGCCTACAGCCACACTGAACCTCCCCGCCATCCACCACGTACCCGAATGGGATATAGACACTGGTCCGCCGTCTGTAGGTGAGGTTACAAAAGCTATCTGTAATTTGAAACGAGGCAAAGCGGCAGGACCCGACGGAATTATTCCGGAGGTGTTTAAATATGGGGGTGACATACTAGTTTGTAGATTAACTGAGGTACTAGGCAAAGTCTGGGAATCAGAGACAGTACCATCAGACTGGGGTAAGTCACTTATTATACCGATATTCAAGAAGGGAAACAAGTCCTCGTGTGATAATCATAGAGGGATCAGCCTAACGAACATAGTCTCTAAAATCCTAGGCTCAGTAATCATGCATAGACTAAGCAGAACTCGGGAGGAACAGACAAGGGAAAATCAAGCAGGCTTTAGACCAGGTAGAGGGTGCATAGATCATATCTTCACTCTTCGACAGATTCTAGAACATAGACACACTTTTCGGCGTCCAACAATTGTCATATTTCTTGACTTGAAGGCGGCCTTCGACTCCGTGGATCGAAAGGTACTATGGCAATGTCTGACTGTGAAGGGAGTGCCAAGAAAGTACATTGCACTAATCAAGGCACTCTATTCAAACTCACGTAGTCGTGTAAGGGCTTATGGGGAATTGTCATCTGAATTGGTAACAACCAGTGGTGTCCGAGAGGGATGTCCACTTTCCCCATTTCTGTTTAACTTCATCATAGATATGCTAATGGAAGTATCCTTAACTGAACGTAATGACTTAGGAATCGACTTGTTACCAGGGAATAGTCTTATGGACTTAGAATATGCAGATGACATAGTCCTGTTAGGGGAGGATGCTGACAAAATGCAGAGTCTTCTGAACACCTTGAGCAGCAATCTCCGTATGTTTGGCATGCGATTCGCCCCTGCAAAATGTAAGATGCTGCTACAGGACTGGACCACGTCAACTCCTAACTTAGTGATAGGGAGTGAAGTGATAGAACATGTTGACCACTTCGCCTATTTGGGAAGTTGTATTAGCACCAACGGACTGATTGGCGATGAAATCTCAGCACGGATCCGAAAAGCTCGAGCTGCTTTCGCTGACTTACACCATCTCTGGCGTAGGCGTGACATCCGGTTATCAACCAAGGGACGTGTGTACTGCTCAGCAGTTCGCTCCGTCCTTGTCTATGGCTCTGAAACATGGCCAATACGCGTTGAAGACATGAAAAGGTTGACTGCTTTCGATCATAGATGTCTGCGATCTCTGTCTCACGTTAGGTGGTTTAATAAGGTAAGTAATGTTGACGTTAGGCGTAGAGTGTTGGGCAAAGAGGGAAAGTCAATCGACGAGGCTATAAAGTTACACAGATTGAGATGGCTAGGTCACGTGCTGCGCATGCCTAACCACCGCCTCCCTCGACGGGCATTGCTAGCTGATATAGGTGGAGGCTGGAAAAGAGCCAGTGGTGGCCAAACAAAAACATGGCATCAATCTATGAAATCCTTGACAGTTAAACTGAGTTAGGTAGGGAGATGCAGACTCCCGGGTTGGGGGCCTCGGGACTCTAGGAATCAATGGCTGGAGACAATAGGTGACATGGCTCAAAATCGTTGTCAATGGCCGGGCAGATGTATTCAGTCTCTGTAATCTTTCATATTCCTTTCTACCATTACCCATTCAGTTTCGCTCTTATACTTGTCAAACTCTATTGATTCTCTTCACTCATCTTCTTGTCTACCTTTGTGTGCTATTTGGAACGTGGCAACTCGAACTGGTGCACTTCGGTTCCAAGTTCTATGTTGAATCCAGACAGACAGACTGGTCTCTGTTCGCTAGTCCTGGGACGTGATGGAAAAGGTGGCGGGGTGGTCAGTCCATGACATGGCGTCGTGGGATGAAGGATGTTTGTGCTAGATTAACATCGGTTGGTTCGTCATGACTCCCTGGTTGGGGTCCGCGAGATAGCTCGAATCGATGGCTCGAAAAGTTATCGGATATATGACCAAGAATCGTAATCAGTGGTGAACGTGTTGCAATTTCCTTCTTTCTTCCCTTTCTGATAATAATTGGCGAATATTGTTTGGACTTGTTCAGCATAGTTGCTTCTTTTCCGTATGAAGTCCTTATTCATTCTCCATTTATTTTTTTCATATTTTGTTTTATTAATATTGTATGGCGCACGTTTTGTTCCATGTTTTGTGTTTGAAATGAAATTATGCAAACTTCTGATGTCTTAAGTTTAGGGTTCTTCCGGTTGTTTTCGATGGAAGACGAACCTCCTGTAAGGTCAAGTTAATATTTGTCGGGATACGGTAGATAGTTTTGAATATGTCATTAGGATTGAAGAATCCTTCTCTATCATCATCTACCGGGTGTCTAATAAATTACCAAAAACATTGAAGTACCGCATGCTCCAAACAGCAGAGGCTATCGTAATTCGCGTGAAACAACCAGTGCTTTGAGTGCAGAAGAAGCATGTCCAGCTAGCCACTACTACTACTACTACTCTGGCCAGTCTTCAGTAGAGACTATAAATTTATGAATTTGTATTATGATTATCTTTCCTAATTCTTCTGACATTCAGCTTATTTTATGTTGATGCTATTGAGCTGTAATCTATCAATATTATTAATTGATTCGATGTCATTTAAACAACATTAATGCTGTTAATAACGCTAATTCATTCATTCACTATAATGTATATATAACTGTAGAACCTGATGATGAAGAAGTGGTCATCGAAAAGAATATTCCTTGTTCAGTATTCATTCTTTTGAGAATTTTAATGGGTATTTTTAATCAATTAGAATGTAGAATTGTTGTGGTTATATAACGAGACAGTGGATTTCTGCCTCACAGGACACTCATTTTTTTTACAGACATTATTATTGATGTTGATTCTTTGACGAGATCTCCCTTGGAGTGTGAAAATTTGGTCGAGGTAGTAGAATTAATTGAAAGACAATGTCAATTCGACTACTGGGATGGATGGATCTCTGTTATGTCCTACTTAAGGGTGACTCGTTTGCATTGTACACGTTATTAGTTGCTTGAGGGAGGTGTGCACGCTTCCATGGAGTGTAGTAACTCAACCAGAATTTGCGACTTTGTGATTGGTTCACTTCCAGAGATCTCTGTTGCTGATCTTTTTTGGCTGGCCATCTGATCTTGAGTATTGAGCAAAGATAACTATCATTGAGAACGATTTTGAGACATATCACCGATTGTCTTCAGCCTTCATGGGTTTTTACCGTCCCAAAGACCCCACCCAGCCAGTCAGGAAGTCTACACCTTCCTACGTAACTGGCTTCAACTAACTGTTGTAGATTTCATTGACTGATGAGGCTATGTTTTGGCTTGACCACCACTAGCTCAATCTTTTCCAACCTGACCCTATGTCAGGGGCTAACATTGCTCGTCGTCGAGGAAGGCAACGGCTAGGAGTACGTGACACATGTCTTAACCATCTCAGTGGATGTAACTTCACAGTCTCATCTTTTGATTTTCTCTCCCACCTACCTAGTACTCGACTGATGCCTAACCTCAATATTGCTCATCCTATTGTGGTGAGAGCAGGTTGCTAGCCAATCGGTAGACATTAATCTACGCTGATTGGTAGACATTAATCTAGACTGATTCAACAACCAATCACAGCAGACTTAAACGTGGGCAAATATGATTCGCAGATAGATGGCTCTACTTTCCGAGAAATATCGAAAACAACCAATCATAAGACTGTGTTTGTCTGCTTAACTTCCGAGAAACAACCAATCAGAAGACTGCCTTTTTCTGCTTGCATAAGCCTTATTAATGTACATAAATATATATAAAT